CAGCAGCAGATGGTATCTGACGTGGTAAAGTGAAGAACGTAATTATTTATCGTTCTACCTGCGACATATCCACGAGGCATCCTGGATGAAACAAGCGACGCCGGGCGTAAAGAAGGACAAGTTCCTTCCGCTACAGAGAATGAGCCTCGAAGGAGCAAAAGAAGAAGAGGTTTTTGAAGGACGTAAATTCAAAGGAAACATTTCTAATATTCAAACAAATACTTGAGTCCAATATAATTAAAAGTCTGATGACTTGCATCGTCAAATTAATTGCAAGAAAAATACTTTTTTATTTCACACGTCTGTACACAGCAGTATCGTCTTTATTTGCTTAGCAACAATGGATTTTAGTCGCCGTATCACCTGTCCTAAAATAAACTTCTCGTGCAGGTGCTGCGAAGCGTTCAAATAATATCTAGAGAGATACAGCTTAATTAAGATCTATTTAGCGTTACTCGGACGTAATTACTCTATTCAGATGGGGTTATATTGTAAAGAGGGTTCCAACATATTGTACGTGCAATAACACGACGTGAAAAAAACATGCGCTGTAGGATAGAATATATCAAAATCTTTCTAAACAATGTCCAGGAGCAATATTAACAGAGATTCCGATGCGCGGTGAGGAAACCATCCTCAATATCACACTGTAAACAATTTTTTTTTAATGTATTGTTTGATTTCTCTATAGCTTTTGGCATATACTGATTTTGCAGTCGAAAACATTCCGAAAACCCATTGCGCATTATACACTTTTGCGACTGCCGTATTATAACCATTTTGCATGATCTGGGTTTTGTGCTAAGGTAAGCGACTTTCAAGAGAGTCTTTGTGCAAAACCTCATGAAGCAATGTTTACTAACCAGCTGAGATCAGTTCCAACATAGTTTAACCGTATTCTACACTAAATTATCGGACGAAAAAGTACTGTATTATCTATTATATCGATTGTCATTTATAACAAAATGTTAGATCCTATCGTCAATCTCGCTAGCCCGAGTAAAAGCATACCGCATTTAGCAAAGTTGACTGTTACCGCATTCGTTTACGGTTACTTGTAGTGCATAGCCCACAGTAAAATTACCATCATCAATACAATTTTTCTTCAAACGAAGAACCTCGGAGGGGATTGGTTGCTCCATGCCCCCTCTCGCAAACATCCAAACGCTCGGGCGAGGTCAAAGATGTGCATCATAGACGATAAATGTAATTAATGATCCCTTTACGATGTCTGACATGTTGCTAGGAAAAATTTCCGATTTACTTTGATATCCAAATAAAAGTCATAGGAACTTGAAATACATGATATTTTTACGGGATCCTTAGCCAGTATTTTGTCCTGTTCCATGCACTCCTGACCTATTAGATGAACACGGCGTAGTTCGATTAAAATGAATGGACCCGGCCAAAGTGACAAAGGAGATGTGCAAGCGACCCGCCATACACGAATAATTATTTAAAACGAAGCGTGAAAGACAATTTAGAATTGGCTCTTCACGTTGAATTTCAAATCAGGGACCCATCGGTGACACTTTGTATGGGGGCGAAATTCTAATGAAGATGACAATGCATGACAAAAACACAATGGGCCACTAGGCTATGCCAGGGCAAGGAAACGTCCTGTCCGAGCATGTCAGACGATGGAGAGGCCACATAGAGACGACTGATAGATTGCAGTTAGTTTCTAGCATCTGAAAGCTTGAATCGTTATTTGTGCACTCTCGATCGTATATTACATACACGACACCTACCTCATCAGAAAAAGATCTTCTGTGCACTGGTTTTGAACTTTACTAATATAATGCAAACATATCGCATAATGAAACAATCACTCGCACTAGACGATTTTAGTGTTTCCTTTAAAATATCAAGTCATCATCGGCAACGGTGGTATCCGTTGATTTCAAGCAGCTGAATTTGAACGTACTTGTGCCAGCTTGCTTGACATCGTTTCATCAAATAACGTTTACTTACCGCCAAATGAAGGTTAGCACACTTAGAAGAGTGTGTTTGTCATGTACTAACTGTTTGCTTGCCAGGACCATGGTAAAAGTTTACGAATTAAGATTAGACCTGATTGACCATCCATTGTCCTAACGACTTCTTCCGGTTTACTAAGTTCAAGGTTTCGTTCAGAGCGCACGGATTTCTGTCGAATAAGGACGCGATCACTTTCGCGAGCGCGTACGTTCTAAGCCAAAATGCCAATCACTACGAGAATAAAAGAAGTGTTTTTTTTTACAAAACTACAGTATCTTAGTAAACAATAAAGATTCAAAGATCTCGTTAGATTTGAGTCATAGAGAGTGCATGTGCTAAAGCTGTGTGCCGCAACAACTCGTTAGTTGGGCCATCAGTACTAACCTAAACGCCATATGATGTAGCAGAAACTTCACCTGCTTTACTCTAGAGAACAGCTTTTGTTCGTGTTATAGTAATATTATAAATTGGGCTCGATAATGGGTTTGCGTGCCACATCGAGCTCAGAGGAGCAACGTCGGCTTGACAGTTTTGAAAGGTCGTTATTAATTGACAGCGCGAGGGATTTCACCGACCACGCAACGCCGCTATTAAACCTCGAAGCCCCAGCTCATACTACCATGGACTCGGTTTCTGTTCTCAAGCTGTACGCCCTTCTAAAGTCACTATCACGGACTTGCTGCGCCGTTATAGACCCTTGCCTCGAAGATCTCTATGAAGCTCTTAGATGTTACAATGCCTTTACTGCTAAAATACAACAAAAAGGGAGCCGATCAGCTGTCCTTTATTTAACTTTAAAGGCAAATTTTATCAATTAAATTCGATAACATAGTAAATTTCCTACAGAGGTAGTAGAGCACACTTGACGGATTGTGGAAGAAATAATAATTCTGAATACGAAATAGCAATATTTGCCAACAATAGCTAAAAGGTTAGTAGTTTACCTTCTTGTGTCTCTGTTTCGCATTTAGTACAATCAATTAGAGTACAACTATATTCGGTTTTGCCTCGTTGAAACAGGTCCAAGAAGTTTTTATATCGTATTGCCTAATTGCAGGTATCAGCTCAGAAGTAAAAATTATTTAGCTCTAATAGGAAATCCACACTAAATATTTATGCATTTTTTTATGCACATTTATTTATGCATTAAGCTTAAAAAAATGTTTCGAATCAGTTTCGATCCTTGACCAGAAAGGACGCTTTTTACCTGCACTTCCCTAAAATTATACACGCACTCAAAAAAGGAAAACTAACTAGAGTACTGCACGGTCATTCAAAATAGTATCTTTTTTCACTCCCCGTGAAGCTAGCCAATGCCACCTAACTGAATTGGTGCCTGGTAGATTTCAACCCCAGGTTTAGCTAACTGTCTTTACCTCTATCTTATTCGTCGCTGTGTGTGTGTATGTGTGTGTGTGTGTTCAGCCGCGAGCTTTTTGGTGGTCGAGTGGTAGAAAAATATTACGGGGAATAGAGTCCAAGCAACGTTTTTCCTCGAACCACATTTTCACTCGGTTCCGTGCTAAGCTAACGCGGAGGTTGAGGGAAGTTGGCGGGATCTTACGGGCGACGCAATTCTCAGTGCCGTCTATGCCTTTGGGTTTGGCTGTGTCCCGGTACAGCGCCAGGACAGCGCTTTGCCTTAGCAAGGTAGCAGCAATTTCTCGCTCGACTTCGTCCGCGACCAATGTTTCCCTTTGGACTTGCACTTTCGCTCGCCGCCACCGCCTTCTCTAGCCGTCCCTAGCTTGTGGGCAACAGAGAGGACGCGGTACTAGTACTTGGCCTGACTGACCTAGGGCTAGAGCAAGTTGTCGGGCTGAGGTTATGGAACACGAGCTGGCCGGTCGCTCCCCCGGAGAATGTGCTAGGGGTCGGTGACCATCGCTGGTGCAGACGAGCAAAGTTTTAGTTCGGCGGTGAAGGAGAAAAAGTGAGAGAAAAGCAAAGAACTCCTGTCAGTGGAGACTTGCCCGGAATGGAACCTGCAGGCAAGTCTTTGACGGTATTGCAGAATGAGGAAAAGAATATAGAAGAACTTGCCGATGGCAAATCGAAAAGGGGCTGACAAAAAAGAGGTCTGCCTCCGAGCTCTTTCAGGATGAAAAGGTCGGCAGAATCGAGTTAGTCGCCTTTCTCTTCTTTCGACTATTAAAGAAAGCATCAAATTGATTCACATAGCGTACGTATAGTGATCAAATAGGGATGATGCTTGAAGCTCCCTGAGCAAATGAGGTAGATATTATATAGACACTGTGGCATTCAATATCATGGACAAGCTATTGTTAATATATGATGGAACATTCGAAGTCAGAACGACGAAGTTAGGCCATTTTTTTTTACCTTAAACAGCTTCGGACAACGGAAACGGTAAGAATATAAGCAATAAACAAGCGTTACGGCGTCTAGTATCTCTGTGGCATTCCTGAGTGAATTTCGTGCAAGCAATTTATTGGTCTGTCCGCTGTATATTTCATCTGGGATTAGAATTATGAGTGATTTGTTTGCCGGAGGGAGTTGCTGACCTAGATTTCGCAACCGCTACAGGGATTTGAAATCTACCTACAAACGATAAGATATCTGATAAATCATGTATATTCTACCGATCATGGCCTAAATAGGTGTGACGCTCACGTTAAGCACGCGTAATAATAGGCAGCTAGGATTGGAGAGGAAATCAAACGACATGTCATATTTATTGTACTGGAGTGCTACCTTAGTACCAAGTTACAGCTCTAACGATGGATGGCGTACGTCAAGGAAAATTTCGACCTTTACGAAGAAAACTCATTTATGATGTCGAGGAAACACAATATAAACCGTTATTGCGAACAAAGAACCCTATAAAGAAAGCAGTAAGTCAAATTTGTGTTCCTATAAAATATTTGAGAAGTTGATTTATACCAAACCAGTAAGTCGCCCAGAATAAACCAATACAAAATGACAACACAGAGAAGTTCGGCGGTTTTGATAAAACTTGGTATTCGATGGTATCAGATAGGGAAAAACTTTTTCCTGCCTTTGGCCTTGGTCATGGTAATGTCTCCGTTCAATTAATGTACTTCTAATTTCGCAAACTAGAACATAGTCTTCTGTCGTGTTTGCTGACGGCAATATCTTGCTTTCGTAGATAGTATATGTTGTAGACTGTAAAAAGGCATTTCCATTTTCAGCGGCATTTTGTTACCGTTAAACACTGCGGTGGTCGCAGCACTCTATGATACCTGAATTTGGGCTGTCATTTGCTTTCTGGAGCTCGTAGGTGATAGCGTCGTCACAGGCCTTTACTGAAATGTTTCAGAACTGCCGATACTGTGTATAGTCATGTACTGCAAAATAGGAATCATTTATTACGAATCGAATCAGAGAAACCCAAGCAATTCTTAAGACAGCAAGTCATTGGGGCTGTTATCTTTGAATAGACTGTACACGTTCAAGGGCCGCATAGAGTAAGTTCTAAGTGAGATTCTGCATATAGTACTTATATATCAATGTTTTTCATGCAAAACATATTACGTCAATGTTTTGTCAATTTCGGTTATATTTATTGTCTTTTGATGCCTTTGCCAAAATCTGACCCAACTATGTTGAGCAACGGCATAAGCACCCCGAAGGCAAAGATAGGGCTTTTCACGCGAAAGCGTCTAAGAGCATTTTATTTCTATCTGGTACTCGATGTATTCCTTGAATTCCGTTGCGCTCGTTGATCTAACAATATGACCTCGAAAATATTTAAAAACTATTGTAAAGGATAACAAACGTAAGCAAACTTGTGTCTTTTGCGCGAACCAGCCTTACTCTAATACATAGCGCGTTTGAAGCGTTTGTTTAACTGCGTATCCGGAAGTGAAATCAAAGGAATTTATAAATAAAATTAATTATACTGATTCTATTACTTATTTCATATAGCCAACTGATTCCAAAAGCTCGTCCCATATGTATGAAGGTATATGCATGCATATGACGCCTATCGGTTCGGCCCATATTTCGAAACGCGTTGCTAGGTTTGTAATTTCTCTAGGCGCTAAGAAGAAACACGGTAACGGCAAACATTCTATAATTGAGAAGAATTATCCTGGCTCTTAGTAAGACAAGAATTCTACCACGGGCATAGCCGAGCTAGACATTACCTTTTTGAGCGGTTTTTGAGAATTTGTAATACATTTAAGCGCAAATACAGGTTCGTTTCTCAAGCATTCTAATAATTGCGTAGGCAAATAAGAATCAAGGCAAGCTTCACTTTGACACAGCAAACAAGTAGAAAAAATAACGACGGTACGGTGGTGCGGTGATGGCTCGACAGCATTAGGGACGCGGCACAATCACTACAGGCTTTTTGCCACAGGATTTATTATCATTACAGGATTACGACTTGGGACTAAAGTATTTTTTTTTTTTCATTGTAAATGAACAACTGAAACAGCATAACGGAATTCAGCGCGATCAGGAAGACTTATGATAGAATAACTATTCAGTAGACCCGTTGAAACAGAGCGACAGAAAAAACTATAACGAAGCACAGAAATACCGACAAGGCAGTGACACGAAACGTCTGATAGACCAATTACAGTGAATTCAAATTTAAGTTGAACAGGTCTAAACTGGCTTTAGGTTAAACTTGGTCCTGGTGATAGGTCAGTGGATGATGCCCTTGCCTGCTGACCTTAAGGACATGTTGTCGCCTGGGTTCGAGCCCGGGCACGGACAGACTTCGTTTCGTGCTGGGAGTCACGCGTCTAATGGAATGCCTAACGGCGATACCGGACGTAAAACGGGAAAAGCGTAAGGTGCCAGGTTTTGCATTACTTGGTATATATGTGTAGAAGGATGGAGCATGTCCTGGAAAGGAATAATTAAGCACGTCAAATTCGATTGTTATGGGTTATGAGCGATAAAACCGGAAGTTCGCTCCTGATATCAATAATAAACTAGCTATTTTTATTCTCTTATTATTCGATAATTTCTTCCAGTGTAGGCTGCGGCTCTTCGAAATTTATTATTATTAATTTTCCCCGTTATAACCTTTATAGGTCTACCGCACGCAAACATGTAGAAACGTATCGCTGAAAAAGACCATCCCCATTAAACATGATATATTGCTGGCTATTGTTGAAAGCTTCGGTAACTCTGAGCAGTACTCAGACAAGAGCACACTCATACACAACAAGCCTTTCGAGAATCGAAAGGCAGTACAACCGCTCTTCTGCAGAAGGCTTCACATCACCCTGGAGCGGCGCTCCCTTCTCCCATGTGCTACGTGACGCGGTGGCAGGCCAACGAAGAAGACAACGAACCGCACTCAACTGGAATTCACAATGTATTGCTACGTTAGCTCGAGTACCCAAACCGTTTTGAGGTTTACTTCCTGTCCTTGTGACTTCCACGTCCTACAAACTGGCCGAGCCGCATTGCCAGGGACTTCTTCACTATGGCTGCAGCCATTTCTACTTAAAAATGTTGTCAGTCTACACAGAGACATAAAGGCAGAGAAATCAAAGTGGAGCTGTTAAACTTCACTTTTTCACTATCCTTGTCAAGAGGCGAAGCAAGCAATGGTGCCGGGCTTAAACTGGGTTGGGAGGTAGTGTAAATAGAACAGGTCTTGAACATGACAGCGAGCACACGGAATTTATCAAGAATGGTCACTGACGCGCCATCTGTCCTTGGCAGGAATTCCGCGACCCAGTCAGCCAACCTACCATTTTGTTGACAACCGAAATAAGAAAATTCGCTAGCACATATTTACATGTCACGTTGTCTTTCCGCGTGACTTGTGTCACATAGCCAGTACTCGCTTATACTGTAATATGACAACGACAAATTGGGGGCGCATTAGTGGCCTGCATGAGCAAAATAAATGTGGGCATCCACTTAGAACGACCCTATCAGACCTGCTAACCTGGATCGTAATTGTTAGGTATGATCTAGAGAAAATGATTACTACAGATCATTGAGCAAATGATATCAAATGCTTCCGAATAAGTGATAGTAATGCGCAAGAAAGAGAAGCTTTATACTCTTTTTGTATTATACGCTTTTTGTTGCTTTCGTCGCATGTTGGTCATATTAATAAGTCTCTTCAAGGCCATTACTAAATTTCAATAGTTTTGCAAAAAGTAAGCATTTAAAAGGTAAAAAATATGCTTCTGTGTTCTAAAAACTCACAGGCTTAAAAAATCGACGTGTCTTTCTTAACTAATGCTCACGTATGTACCTGTATTACTTATCTTAGTTTACAACATATATAGTTTTCGTTTTGTTCATTGTGAAGGTTCATTAAACATTTATCAGGTGTTGCTTTTAGATAGAGATCTTCATGTACATTGCAATTTTACCACTCGACCGAAGCCCCTGTCGAGTGGAAGCCGGAATATAAGGTATGCGAGGTCTAGGTTCGACCGAGAAACGACGCGACGGACCTTGATGGCTGTGATGTCCACATTTCTCACAAAAGGAGGGCGACGCATTCATTGTCATTGCCTCACCATCGGCTGACCAAAATCGCCGAATGTCGACACATGTCCCCATTGGCACCCATCCCGTTTGTTCAATGGATTTTTGTATAGCGTAGCGACTAGCCATTACAGAGCAGACGAGGCGAAACCTGCCCACATGATGCTTGTATCGCTCGGCCATATGCCCGCTATCCAGAACTTTGTCAACCGTTCAATAAGGGAACTGCCAAAAGCACCCCCTAAACGCCAAGAAGACAGGAGAGAGCTTTCGTAAATGGACCTTTGTTGTTATTCTCGGTATGTTCCTCCATTATACATAACAGCGGGCATCCTTCCTCGGGGCAGTGCGAAGCGATTCTATACTGCCATTTCCATTGCCGAGGCGCCGCTTCTCGCAAGCCCTCACGCAGCCTGGCAGCTTCTTGGTGCTTGGGGTCGATGTACCTCTTATGTTTCCCGCTAAGCGAACTGTGTGGGTCTCCTGATGATACAGAAACTGTAGCTGTGGCGAAAAGCGTGTAGTTAGCCATAGTCGAAGAGCCTTGCCTGGCAGCAAACGTCAATTGTTTCTGGCAGGGTTAAGCTTAAGGGGGCCATTTAAATTGTGGCATAGAGCCGCAACGTGCTGTGTGCCTGAAAACGGCGGCGCGTCTGAAACTTGGCTGAACATAATCCTCAGGTCAGGAGAATCGACAATTTGAGTGTAGTCTAAATAGCCATCACCGGGATAATAAGTGAGCAGATTTGTCAGCATAAAGAATGTGTGTTGAATGGCTCCTTATAAACACAGAGGCCCTGATCATGCCGTGTGGTACGTTCTAAAACGCTCTTCGTACCTAGTATGTTAGCACCATTCCCATTAAAAAGCCTGCTTAAAAACAACCGTTTAGGAATTGGATAGTACCATCTTTTTAGGTATTAATACTCCTATTAGGTCAAGCGCAGATTAAGGCTACGTGTCATATGCGGCAATTGTGCTGTTAGCTTTGTCTCATAGATAGCTTAACTTATATGATATATAGCAGCCAAACTTCGAACGGATGATTTATACTCCTAGCTGAATCCATTGTGATCATTACTTACGTGAACTTTTCTATCTGTTTTGAGAAGCATGTTTTGCTTATTTTGTCGGTATTGTGCACACTAGCCGTCAGACGCACCAATTCAACGTATGGACCGTGGAGATATTCGGGCAGATCTTTCATGTCCTTCCACATAACGACACTGTACTGTACTACATAATAAATCTCAATTGCTTAATAATAAATAAGGTGTTTTTTTGGACCCCCTCGTCATAAGTACGTCACAGCTTTCGGCTTTTGAAACTCTTAGCAAGTTGGTCTGGAAGCCATGACATCCATTCAAAGTTACGCGTGTTTTGGCTAGCATCAGTAACAAGGGGAGTTTACGATTACTCATTCAGGTTCGCTAAGCTATGGTTAAACACTTATCTAAATAAAGTGCTAGCCTTTGATATCACGAAATTTACTCTTAAAAACACGTGTAGCGCATGATGCCTGGCGCAAATCGCCCAAGGTAGCTACCATTGCTCTCACTTGTTCGATCAAGGGTAGCTACCTTGGGCGTTCCTATATTAGGCCGTTTTCACGATGTACCCTACTGGTTGAAAGCCGTGGTTAAAAATGATTAGGGGTAGCTGGTGGTGGCCAACGACACGCCGACACGTCTACTCAATATGAATGAATAACAAAAATTATTTATAGTTTATGCTTCAACTGGCTATCAAACACGTGAAGGACTCGTACTGCGCCTCATTTTCATTAAACGGATGCAACGCATGTTAGCGTATCACAGAGACAGGAGAGAATCATTGATGTAATACCGGCAATATGAAAGTTTGAGGTAACATTGGAACCTTTGGAGTAGTCGAATCAATCCAGCGCGTTGCTTGATTATATATCCGTGTCCTGCGCTATCCGAATCAACACAACTACCGCATCGACACAATCATGACCCTGAGTGAATTAAATCTCGACAACGGCTCGACAGTCAGCCTGTTTTCTAATTTTGGCGTGTCGAGCGGCGATGGCTATCGGTAACAATGATCTTCGAACTTTTTCTCTCGACGCGTTTTGTCTATTTCTGTTAAATCATAAAGCGGATATACCAGCAGACCACGACCGTAGCGGGTCATACAGTGAGCAAATGTTGAAAACTTTGTTGTCTTTCTGAGAAATTCAATATCATTCATTGCGTTAGCGTACTATAAACTTCGGCGCTGCCTCTAAGCCATTTCTGTAATCGATTTATAATCGATATAACATTGTTTAAAGGTAAACGAAGTGGTACTTATGAAAGTTGTGGAACTCGAGTTACTCTATGAAAGCAAAAAATGAATTTTATTAAACAATGACCTAACTATTCCACAATGAAACATTTGCCCTCGTTTTAAACGCTCGAAATATTTTAAAAAGACAAAATTCTGGAACACTGTCAGTAATGCTTCACGATGGCCATCAATAACGCGTATTACCCCGCGTTTCTCTCTGTCGAGTGTGAAACCCTTTTGGCGAACAGACATTTACCACGCTCTCACGTTTTTGGGCACAACAATCGCATAACGCTCAAAGCTCATCTGCAAGTTAGTTGAACACCAATTGCATAAATTACGTGTGTTTGGTTATCGAATATAATTAAATAAGTTTATTAGTCCTAAGACTATTGCAAGTAATCGTACTTTTTTCTAGACAGTATGACATGATTTATTAACGGGTATTAACTCGGCTTGAAATTAAAGAATACGTTTTAATACGCTTGCAATGTAAGCTGTCGTCTCATAAACGTTTGCTTCAGCAGCCATTTAATCAGATTGGTTACCCTTTACTGAGGTCTTCGATAAACCTTCTGTCCCTTGGCTGACGACCTTTTGAGTCCTTCGATCGTTTTCAGGAAACAATCGGAAGCACCGACGGCCCTGTTTCTTTCGGTGAACGCTTCTTGTTTAACCTTTGAGTTACGATTTATGTATTGTGCAGTGCACGTAGAGAAGCCGTAATGTACCTGAGTAGCCGAACTTTTGAACGCCAATTACGGTACTTGTATATCCAAAGGAAGTATCAATGCAAATAGACGATGCCCACTCTCGGGAGGGAACGTTTGACCGGCAAACTAATCGCTCTTCATTTTCCTGCAAGATTACCAAAATACTAAAAAATGAGTCTTTCAATAATCTAGTAATAACCCCGAGATGTAGGCTCTGTATGAAAAAGAACGTGTGAGAGCATCTTTTTCCAATGATAGTACTTTTCCTGCGCGGCTTAAAAGACCCGAAAGTCAATATGAGTGGTATTACAATCGCATTCGACTGAAAACCCAAATAGATAATACGATATTTGAAATTGCTTATAGTATCACGGAAGTGTCGTAGGCCGTATGGCCAGTCACATTTTTTTTTTAGGGTCTCCTATGGAGAGGGCCATCCCTCTTATAAACCTAACACTCAAATATCGAATCAAAATGTGACTTCATGTAAATTCTATATTGAAAGTCAACCTAATTTAAAGCGCAGTGCTGTTTTATATTAGATCCTTCATATTTTGAAAGTTCCCGCGTATCAACATCTCGAAAATCACCATACCTCTCCGATAAGCTTGCACTACTGGGTAAGTAATAAATAAAACATTTTTATATCAGGTATCTTTGATGACAAAACTATGACTCTGCTTGCTTGAAAACAGAATGCTAGCTAGCAAAAAAAAAACGAAAAAAAAAAAACATAACTTTATAATAGGTTCGTTAAAAAAGAATTCTCTTCGGTTACTTGGTAGACACATGCTTATAGAGTAGATTTTTCAATCGCACCTTTAAGGCACCGCATGACTTTATGATCGGTAACGGCTTCATCAATATCCAGTGAAAAGTTATTTCATAGGCTGACTGAACAGCAGTTGCATAAGCGAAGCGCGGGCTTTCCTAAGCATGAAAGCTGCTCCACTTACTTGAGAGCAAGTTTTATTCCTATAATAAGATCAATATCGTATCTCCACTTAGAAACTACTAGCTAAAAGAATCATCTGGTCATCCACAAAAAGCTGGAATCAGCAAAGTTTGCCAAATAATAAAAGCAACTTAATTCCTAAGTTTTCCAGATAAAGAACGATAAAAATAGCGTTAAAAACAAATTTGGCAACTCTCTGGAAAGCACTTGACACTGATCAAGTTCACTCACATTTGTGCGATTTACAAGTTCCAATGAAACTAACTCAGGTCACTACGTACGCATACATAGATCCACGTTTCTAGTAGCCCAGTTAGTCTATTGTAGCTCTTTGTCTTTGACGAGCCTAGCCAAATCGATTGTGTGTAGTCACTGTTGCCATGGTATTGGTAAAAAATTGTTAGCACAAGTACTACTAACGACAGGGAGCGCCTGACGACAACTAATATCTACTCTATTATTAGCCAATTAGAATAGGCACACTTGTACTGGCTTTTTTCATACTGTTGTCCTTCTTGCAGTGGCAGGTGCCAAAAATCTACAACGTCCCAACTTCTTTGGAATATATGCATATATATATCGATCGCAGATATTGGCATACCTGCACACATACGTCGATCCAAATTTTTCAGTAAAATCAGCACTATTACCTAGCCGTTGGATTGAAGCATTGCGCTCAAAGGCTCCTTTAAACGACCACCGTAATTGATCGATGGAAGATGGATATAGCAAATCAATACCCGAATTGTTAGCTAGCAAGGTCGGCTAGAATAAGAGGCTACGACTCACCAAACATATCTAGTACGTATAAAGCTCTCAACAAATATGACCTAAACAATTTGCTATACGTATAAACTTCGCAAACTGATGCATCGAATAGCGATCGGTTGCTTGGCTACAGGTAAACCACACAATTTGTCCGACATAACTGGATCAGGCCCGTTCACCGGCCGTTTTGGTTACGTAGTTATCAGCTGGTCGTTATGACTCAGTGACCATATAAGCAGCCGCTACCCGGATAATATATATTATTCCAATTATTCGATAGCCTAGATCTGGTGTTCCTTCCGCAGCGTTTTATTAATCTTAAGTTCACATTTCCTAAAGAACGAAACGTGAGAAAAATGAGAGTACGAAGAAAAAAACATAAAAACTTTCAAATCTTTGAGATTTTTTTCAACCTTCTAACAGATTTTTTACGTCACCCGGTACATTACCCATAGATGATCTGCATGACACAGACATCCGACCGACATTCAGCTGTGTATCAGGTACGCATTCCCATCTACAACTCTTAGGTGTTTCAGCCGACAAGAAGGGATCGGTGTTCATTTAAGGTTACACACGACCCCATTCAGCCGTACGCCATTGAGCCCTTTCTAGTATACATCAATGGAGAACAAAAGACGGCCACCATCTACGCTTATGCCTCAAGTGTTGCACACCGGCTTTCCTTAGTTTCACGTAACGATACGAATGCACGTTACCCGGTCTGATACAAATACGGGGTACGCTTGTACCTTCTTCAAAAGAAAAGACGTCAAGGGTGGAACACCGCATTATGCTGCAATATAGCATATGAATGCAGATCCGCATCACGTCGCTTGGTCAAATGGAAAAATGTTTTCCCGGTTCTAGCTGCTTTCGAAAATGGCATAAGCCGAAGAGAGTGTTCAGTAGGGCCTTCGTTGTTATCAATAGAAGAAGAGATTATTCTACCTACGCTCAAATTGGTCGTTGTATTCAATTTTTAAATATGAAAGAGAAAACCATGCGCGCACATTTTTTGAAGGCATAGGATTTGCTCAACTTGGGTTGAATGAAAAATAATTAAACGACGCAATAAACCAATAAAAGAAGCTGGGCTCAATATTACCCAAGATAGTAAAATTTCCGAGTATGAATTACGAAAAAAAAACAGAATCGGGCAGATAGAATCGACCTTTTCGTTCTAATAAGCGTCTTAAAGCACCTAACGATTACCTATTGGTAAAAAGAAATTACGCCAATCTACTAATATATGTATTGCTGCTTGTCCACTTACATGCAATGTCCTCTAAAATCCTTTGGCCGGCTGTAGTGACAAATTATAGGATTTAATATACTGCAGCATGGTCGAAGGCATCGTATCGAGTTTTCTACTTGTCCCCTCTTACTCATTAGGAAAAAAAGGAGTTATTGCAAATCACTCACAGAAGACGAAACCAAACGAAACCTCGGCTCTATCCCTTATCTGTACCATCGGCATAAGCTATTTTTATGCAGCCTGTTTGAACTGGCATCTGGGTAATGTTCTAGCAAGCATTTAGTCATTAGCCTACTTCCGTGAGAATCACTGATCAATATAACGATGCGCGGTCGCAAAACAAAGCGTCCACGAACATCTTCGAAACGAAACAGCCAATCGGAGAGATGGGAAAGCTAAAATGCGGTACGGGCGAGATCGCCCAGTACCACACTGATACAGCTTTCGATATGTCCAACAGTGTTGATTTATATAGAAAATACATTTTCAAAAAAAATAACAGTATTTTTGTATACTCAGGCATCCGGTTAGTAATTGAACGAAAAAATTGATCCAAACAAAAAGTTAATAGTTTTTAATAGTCGGCGATTCAGTACGTACTCATTATTCTGTTGTATTTAGGATTTCATTGTTGGTCATATATAATATAGCTTTCGATCACGAGGACTAGGGATGCGAGTCGTATCAAAGGCCCGTGATCTGATTAGATTAGCGAGCATATCGTGGTTAGCTTGAAATCTCTAATTAATTTCAAAATTCTTCTAAGTCTATTAGGATAGCTTAGATCGCCCAATTTAATAAACCGTCGTCTTCTGTAAGGGCATTATCGTAAGCGTGTACTTATTCAAGTCTCGATAGCATACAAGTCCTAACACGTCTTTGACAACTGCGCTCACAGATTCCGCTTACAGCTCGTTAGGCCTTACGTTTGTCATAGAACTTTGAAAAAAACGGTTGACACAGATATGCATGGATCACTTTAATTCTATTGTTCAATGTATCTGGACCATTTAAACTGTTGCAATCGAAAGCAAGTAAAATGTGTGATCGAATTGTACACGAACAATTACAAGCATGTGTTAAACAAGTTCTTATAACTTCTCAAAATTCAGACGATTTTTTCTTTCAGTGCGTTTCTTTACTAACTAGCTCACTAACTTGGGTTACCAATCTAGTCATATTTTTCATTCACTCGTATTTCGAAACGCCTTTACATGCACTCCTGGCATTTTCAGGTATTCTTCAGTTGTGTTCCAAGTAATTTCTATTTCCCAAAAAACTTTGCGCTGACAGTTTAAGAGGCGCCCTTTGTTCCAGCAGGCTCATGTTCACAACGCAAGGAACAAGTCTTTAAAACGAATCGATGTTCCAGATTCATCCAGGACGACAACTTTAAGGACCACGCATTTTATCGTCGGTCGTACAAGACGCACGCTGCAGCTCCACCGCGTCGTCTGGACGGCCATCCCTGTGTAGCGAGTGATTGTTGAGCGGATTTGACTGAAGCTATTTTTTTTTAGCCTTAACCTTGCCTTATTAACTCGAATGACTTGGTAGGACGAGTTCCAGAAAAGAAGTTACCGCAGATTAACAAACTTCGAAGAACCTAGTTATCTACTATTTAGATGATCTATTAACGTATGCACTGGCAGTAGACACATTGGTAAGGCGCATCTGCAAAGTCAGATCATTTTTTACTGGTTCGAAATGTAAATTTAGTTATAGTTAAACAGGTTTCCGCAGAACTCAAACTTTCTCAAGCAGCCTGAATACCGGCTCGACCTTTAGTAAGCACTCCAGACGCTCAGTGTGTGGTTCTGATTCGCTATCATATCATTGTTTGAATAAATGGGCTTCTCGTTATGAACCAGAAAGCGCCCCCTCGATACTCATCAAAACATCGATTGCTGAATCTCAAGAGAAAAAAAATAGATGACTCAAGGGAGGCCTAAGGATTCATCACTTACTTTTAGTGTTAACTCGGATCGAAAGTTTCATTTAACTCCGACCTTTGCTTCTTTGCTCCAGTTTCCGTTACCACGGGTCTACTGATACCAGGCAGAATCTCTGGCGCCTTCGTTCTGCTGTGTTACAAAAGGACGCAACAGGAACTGTGTCAGGCCCGGCCCAGCAGTCGCGTTGATAAAAATACGACATGACAGTTTAACAAGCGAAATGCGTGGAAAGAAAAAATGCTATGTTTAGCCTATCAAAAAAGCTGCATAAAAAGGAACGTTTTTTGCTCTCTAACGGGATCGGCTTTTGCCATGACTTACAAGCCACAAATGACTTCAGGAAACGCTTGAGCGAATTCCCCGCAAAACTTCGTATGGACTAGTCGAGCCCAAGAAAGCTATGCTTAACAGAACTGAAAATACGTTCAACCTGCTCTCACTGCTGTTAATACGCTTGGGACCATTTTACTACAAATCTACCTGACTTGACGTTCTCAATATCAGTGGGGTGCAGACCCGTACCTACTGTCTAACCTGTTAAAGCATACGACTCTCTATGGCATTCCTATTGCTATATAGCCTCACTGTTCCTATATAGCTCCAGACGAAAACTATGGGGGAATTGTGAGCATTTTTACTTGTAAAGCGCTTCTACTTAGGCGATTATACGTGCGCACGCACGCACGCACGCACACGGATACATAATGATCCAGTTCTACCATCTGATGCTGTGCATAGAGCATTGAATAGCGAAATCCGACTTGATCAGACCTCGCAAAGCTTAACGAGCCTCCTCCTGGCTGGATTTCGCTGGTAGCTTTCAGATATTTCACTAGTTCAGGCAGTTGTAAAACGATAAATGATATTTCATCACATTTTGCCCGCATTTGCTCTTATGCGTAGTAGTCGAAAGGTGAACAAGACACTGCAGCAGCAAAGAACAAAAAACGAGCTCTAACCGAGGTCAGCTGAAAACGGACCATTGCAGCGGGAAGCCCTGACGGTCCACCGCATACAGCTGTCCCATCCCCGAAATAAAATATGGGAACCAAAAGGAATGAGAAATGAAAGAATTTTAGCACCAAGTGGCGCCATAGTGCACACCCGCAGAACACACAGTACGCTATTCACCGTATAACTGTGTACATCGCACTACCCTCCGAATTGGCTGTTAGGGAGACGAAAGAGCGAAAGCGAAAGAGAGTGGACGTGGATGTCACCCTTCCGAAAATTCGGGTGATGCTGTCTTTCGATCTTGTATTGATTAGGCTTTATATTGAACCGTACTCCAGAGCTGTTATTAGATTACCTGAATTGCTGTGGCTAAATTGAAACAGAACCACTCACAGTAGTTTTGAATGGAAAATAGGCCACATGTGCTAGATATGGCCGTGGCCCCCTGCTATAGACATCTGAAGTCAACTGCATATAAATGAAGGGCTGAGTTCGTGGACACTGAAAATTGTTCTTTTAGTGATCTCATCTGCTAATGAACATTTTTCAATCGAGCTGAAGCCACTGAAAGTTGGCTTCCTCTGAATCGCAGAAAAGATTTTTAAAAACGATCTCCTCTTGCTAATATCACAACAGCTCCTGAAAATGCATTGAAGCACTGCTAGGGGCAATCCTTCGACAAGAAGTTAACGGCCGCTTTTCTCTACACCATATCATAGTCAATTCAGTCGATTGTATTACGCTCTAATTTTCCGCAATTTTATTTTAATTTCCAAAGTAGCACTACGTTCAATGCTATCTTGGCATGATTGCCTCTCTTGCTTGGTCGATGTATAATCATAATAACTGCACGCGTAAAAAATATGAATTAGAAGCAAGAAAATAATATTCTATGCATTTCGAGAATAGGTAAATGAACGAGATAAAACAAACCTATTATTTTTGAGATTTTGCAACACCCCTACAAAGGACAGTAATGCCTGTAGTTCGGTAGTTTTGATTTTTCCAGATTTATTCTAACATACGCTATTTTCGACCATAATAACGGTTGAGCTCAATTCATGACTGTGCTCTTGAAACGCGAAGCACATATCCACAGGACCATCTGTGCTTTCCTGCGAGTGCAAAAATTGCATCGTCTACGAGCGGCTTATAGAGTTGTGTAGCAAACGACGCCATTCCTTGGAACAATGTAGTCAATAGAGGGCGCTGACAATGCATTGAGACAATCTACGGCTTTTTCGGAGCTAAAACGCCAGCAGCTGGGAAAAACTCCAAACGTGATTTTCTTTTCGTTAGAATAGTATCAGCTTAAATACTTCTAATTGCATCATACGAGTGATAATCACCTGCCTATCATTTTGTTATAGTTGCTTCTTAGCATTGGTACGTGCGTAACATTGTGCTGCAAGCTCAAGTAGCGGTCAACAGGATTTTTCCGGCTAAAGCACCTTGTACATAAAGATTACCTCTGTCAGATTACCTTGTAGATCATTAAACAAATTAGGAAAATTCATGGTCTTCGTTGTGATTAATTATGAGACTAGAGAAAAGTAAACGCATCTAAATGGAATTTTCATATCGCTGAGACTGAGCTCTCTGTCCAAGAGATATCCTGTAAGTACGTTAAAGATTCAGTTTAAAAAACTGAGCTTGCTTTCGGGCATGCTAATTATTTAAAACTTTCTTGTTGCCAGAAGTCGTTATCTGAAAGTTTTTTTTTTTTTTAAGTTAAATGAAAATAAGTGATATTCGCTGAGATCTATTAAGCGAACAAAGACCTAGCTTGATTCCTGTCAACAAATCAATGCGTAACATCAGTGGACAGTGTCAACATATTCCAGCAAGAAGTTGAAAACCGCTTCTCTCGCTCTGACCAGGCATACGACGACGAATAACTTGATGCCATGCAACTTAGTCCATGCCAACTTCAAGGATACCGTGAAGCTACAATACACGAAGCGATCCTATGCGATATCTGCCTGGTTGGTTCAAGGTTACCTATTCAAGGTTACCTTGGAAATAATAATACACGAGGCGATTTCGTCTGTATCGTCTCCTCTGTTACGTCCTTAAAAAAAAAGTGCATTTCTGTTCTTCTTAGTCCAGTTTTCTACAGGTTGGACTCCCGCTCAACAGTTTTATCAGAAAAAAAAACGCAATAAAACGTGATAATCACAGAAAGGTGCGGAAAATCTCCTCTAAGGATCTGATCCACTGCTCGGTAATGTAAATCGGCGTCTTTAACACACCTCGATCTGCAAAGCCGAAACCAATTTTATTCGAGGGGCAACGCTAGTTACTACATTGACAAACATATCGCTAGCTAAGCATTGATATATATGGGTGATTTTATCAGTAGTTTGTCGATTGGTTCGGCGTTTTTTCATCAATGAAAATGAGATACGTTATCGGGGAGCTTGCCGACGCATCAGTGGCCTTTATTACCAAGTCCAGATTGCAGAGGAGCTGAACATTTTGCAAAAAAAAGTGAGGTCTC